AACATAAATTATAATCAAAAGACAACTAAATAAAAATGTCTTTAATATTTTTCATAATTGTTAAGTGTAGGGGTAAGTACCTGAAATGATAAAACTAAAATCTTGTTTTTATCATTATTTAACTACCAGAGAAAGCCTCAACTGGCATCGCTCCAAAGAGTCCACCCACCACTTTAATCTCACTCTGATCTTGTTCTTAGGTCTGGCATAGTAACTAAAAATTTAATAATATTCCCTGAAAACCTTTTGTCTGGTAATTTTTAAGCAACATTTAAATTTGCAACAATGGATTATACAGCAGTGGGGAATATGTTTCCGTACAGTAAAAGTCTTTGTGAAAGTTCTGTAACTAAATTAAATGATACAAGTCCTCTACAGTTATCTTCTTCAACGCCATGTGCCAACACAGTGCAGAGCTGGCACCTAAATTCTACTATCACAGATATTAATCATGCATATGACTCTGGATGCTGTGGGTCCTCAGCAAAAGAAAGCCTCAAGTCAAAAGTACATGACTCCCTGTTATAACTTTAAATATTCTAGGAATCCCAAGCCAGGTACAAAGCGGTGCTCTACCTGTATTGTGACTTCGACTGAGAACATTGTCGGGCGGCAGAAAGGAATACTTCAAGGACCTCCTTAATCCCGCATCTTCCAAGGAGGAAGCAGATTCTGGGGACGAGGGGGACCAATCACCTATCTCTGGGGGAGAGGTCACTGAGGCAGCTATTCTGTGGAGTGTTATGGTGGCAGAGCCCCTGGGTGGATGAGGTCCTCCCTGAGTTCTTGAAGGCTCTGAATGTTGTAGGACTGTCTTGGTTGTCACAGCTCAGGTGACAGATTGGGGGCGGTGCCTTGGATTGGTGGTTCCCATCTTTAAGAAGGGAAACCGGAGGGTGTGTTCCAACTAGAGGGGATCACACTCCTCAACCTCCTTGGGAAAGTCTATGTCAGGATGCTGGAATGGAGAGTCCATCAGTTAGTCCAATCTCGGTACAGGGTGAACAATGTGGGGTTTTTTTCCTAGCCGTGGAACACTGGACCAGCTCTTTATCCTCTCAAGGATACTTGAGGGTGCATTTGGAGTTTGAACAATCAGTCTACATGTTTTTTGTGGACTTGGAGAAGTCATTCGACCGTGTCCTTTGGGATGTCCTGTAGGAGGTTCTTCGGGAGTATGGGGTGTAAGGCCCATTGCTATGGGCCGTTTGATCCTTATACAACCGATACAAGAGCTTGGTCCGCATAGCTGGCAATAAATGGGACTCTGATGGACTCTGCCAAGGCTGCCCTTTATCACAGATTCTCCTTTCACTTCGGTGGTCTCAGAATTTCATCTCTGCTTTTTGCAAATGATGAGGTTCTGTTGGCTTCATAAGGAGATGGCCTCCAGCTTGCAGTGGAACAGTTTGCATTGTGAAGCAGTAGGAATGAGAATCAACATCTCCAAGTCTGAGGCTGTGGTCCTCAGCCCGGACAAGTTCCTGACCCAAGTGGAGGGGTTTAAGTATCTCTGGGTCTTGTTCACAAGTGATGGGAGAGGGGAGCGGGAGATCGACAGACAGATTGGTGCTGCATCTGCAGTGATGCGGACGCTGTACCAGTCCATCGTGGTAAAGAGACAGCTAGGTGTAAAAGCGAAGTGTCTGGGTGCCTCCTGGTGTTCTGGACATGTCCTACTGGGAGGAGGCTCAAGGCCGACCCAAGACATGCTGGAGAGATTCTGTCTTTCGGCTGGCCTGGGAACACCTTGATGTCCCCCCTGACAAGCTGGGGGAGACCAGGGAGAGGGAGGTCTGGACTACTTTGCTTAGGCTCCTACCCCTGCGACTCAGCCCCAGATAAGTGGAAGAAGACGGACGGATGGACGGACATGTTCTAATCTATCCATACATCCGTCCATCCAGATTCCGTTCTGATCTCTGTAATAAAATATGAGTTGACAGTACTGAATGCTGCACTGGTATCTGGCAATGCGATAAGTGTTTACTAATATACCATCTACATATACTGTTACACTGTGTGTTGAAAACTGACCTTTATTTTGTAGTTATTTGTTTACATTAAAGTCATAATTACACAATCACAATGATTAATTCAATTCAGTTTTATTAATATAGCACAAAACACAACAACAGTTGCTTCAAGGAGGCTTTATACTGTAAGGTAGAGACCCTAGAATAGTACAGAAAAGACCCCCTATGAGCAAGCACTTGGGGAAGGAAAAACTCCCTTTTAACAGGAAGAAACCTCCAGCTGAACCAGGCTCAGGGAGGGGCGGGGCCATCTGCTGTGGCCGGTTGGGGGTGAATGATGGAAGACAGGATAAAAGACACACTGTTGAAGCAAGTCTGATGTTAATAACTAATAATTATATGTTTATTCCTGAACTTTGTTTAAGATCAATTATGACAGAATATACACTGAAAATGTCAGCACTTGTGTTACTTCAACACTGCAAGTCAGCGTACTAGTAAAGAAATTCATGTGCATATAATTGTACTGAAATCGATCAATCATAAGAGCATCAGTCACTGAAGAATTTGTGCAGCATGATTTATGGTCCTGCAAATGTGTATGTCTGCATTTACATTGAAAAATAATGTGCATAAATATAGATGGTTACAATTACCCCAGGAATTGTGGAGGGATGAAGACAGGAAAAACAGTTAAAAATCCCAACACTGTGATGCTAAGCTTTGCCACATCCAGCCCTTGCATACCTTCCGGCAAGAAGCAAGAGTCCCTTAAATCAATGCCTGAGCTAACTGTGGTTAGAAGTGAATGGGTGAGGCTGGTTACAGCAATAGGATCAGTGTATCAGTGAACCAGAAATAATACCTCAATTTAGAGTATTCTACCTTATGAGTAGCATAGAAACAACAAGCAATAATCCTTCCATGTGAGGTGGACTTGTAAAATTAAACAGAATAATACAAATGTTCCTATCATAGCTTCCCTGTTAACAACCTTAAAAAGCATCCCTACCATATGCCTTACAGCATTAAGTTCCTTGAGGTTGGGACTTTGCACTATATAAATAAAACTGAATTGAATTGAATGTCCTGGGGTAAATATAGCATGAAGTGTGTGGTGACTGAGGTAAATTATTATCTTCTACACCCAATTATCATTTAATTAAGGTTGATGACCTTAATTATCATTGATTAAAAAGAAATACACAAAACACAAAACCTAAATTTAATGAGCTAAATTACAATTTTATCATTGTCTTTTATAAAACTTTCATTAAACAACTGCTACAAAATGAAGCAGCCCTCCCTGAGTATTTAGTGTTCTAAAGAGCTTTACAACACAAAATAGAGACACATTTCAGATAAAAACTTAGTGCAACATTTTATCACACATATTTCAGTATAGCGACTAGATATGTTTTGCAATAAGCACATGGGTTTTTGGCATTCAGACTTTCTATAATGGGTTATAAAAAGTGGTCAACATCAGCCACTAATATCTTATGGAAGCCATTAACATAAAACAAATTCTGTTAAATGTTATTTATATCAGAACAACAATTGCCTCAAGGTGCTTCATATTCTAAGATACAGACCCGACAATAATAAAAATATGTGAGTATTGATGTTGTGACTCTGTTTGAAGGTTTAAAGGCCTCAGTGAAAACACAAAACAGCAGATTCTTTAGAAGATGGCAAATCCAAAATACATTTCAACCTAATGATACAGAATTTTTCTGTACAACATAAATGCTCTCTTAATTCAAAATTAACTGTATCGTCCAGTGTAAAAGTCTTGATTTAAGTGTCCGGATCAGTTTTTACAATTCTTTAAATGAAGGCCTGCTCACACTTACAAACAGAGGACAAATCCTATAAGTTGTGCTTCATTTAGAGATGCAAGATTTGATGACGCTGTAATGAGTCGATGTCAGTTTGATGAATAAAAATAGCTTTCTGTTTTTATGAGAATGAAAGCGTCTGAAATGAAGCCAAAATGATCGAGTATCAGTTCATGCTTGAAAAAAGTGGCACTGGTTTGTTAATGATAAGCAATGGAAATTTGCTAACATTAGTTAAGTATTACTTTAGAATTTGCACTGTTATTATAGTTACCAGAGGCTGTATGCTGCCTGAGGATGTCACCATGGAATTTCGATATATCACACCCATGTGTTTAACGTTCCTGAACAGCGCTTCGTGATGCGACTTCATTACCTAAAACTACTTTTTGACTCAAATGTCAGGAGACTAGAACAAGAATACCAAGTGAAAGAAAATTACATTATAGAGGAAATATATTTGTACGTGTTGCGCAGAATAAATGCAGAATAAATTCTAGCCTAAATAGGTTTTTTTGGCACTCTCAAAGACGCACGCCAGTTACCAAAAGGTGTGTTGTAACTTTTCGAAGAAGTTATATACAAATTATACTCTACTACTTTTCTAAATACCTTGAGGGTATTAAGTGTTACCGGTGATTTCCCATTCATATGACAATCATGTCACATTTTAGGCTCGGAAATAACATTATTATCTTAAACGTTTCACTTTCTTCTTCTTGTGTAAGTTTAAAGGTTCTGCCAAGTTAAATAAATACATTATAGCATCGTCATCATGCGCACTGAGCAAACGCTGTGATAAATAAAAGACTATTCATTTCGCCCATATTGCACACTCTTTTGATCCTCCGCATGTTTTATGAACTCCCCTCTCTCCCACTCAGTTGTTGGGAGTCCCTCAGGTAAATTGGCCTGCAAACACATAAATTCAACACAGCCCTTGTAGCGGATAGATGAGACTCTGCTGCCCATTGTAACTCCCACACAACACCGTGGATTCCAGCAAACTTCTTGTACGCCTCTTTAGAGAAAAGGCCTCTCTTTTCATTTGTCCGTGTATACCCCTGACCAAGCTAAGTCTTTTCTTTTTCCTCTCTCCGTCTTTAATCCGTCCCTCTATTTCAGGAAGAAAAAAACACAAAACCAGTTCACGCAGTGCTTTAGTAGCTAAAAGTAAAAGAGCTTGTGTTCTCCCCACCACCCCCCCACGCAGCGCTGAGCCCTGAATCGCTCTGGAAAATTGCTTCTTTTGAATAGGGGGAAGGAGGAACAACGTTTAATAGGATCCAAAGGGAGTCTGTGCTCTTAAACAGGTGGAAATTGGACGTCCTCGAATTTATACAAATAGTAAGTTTATAAGCCGGTGAGGAAAAAGACGGATCCCATCTCCGAGGATTAGCAGCTCTCTCCGAGAAAAAAAAAAGATTACTGTGTTGTTAACCAAATGAAAGCAGGAGACTCACTCAGCTCCTCCAAAGCGCGATTAATGATGAAAACACAATTGTGCAGCAGTTTTACTGATGGAATGGTTTCATATTTACGTGCCATCCCCTCTATAGATTTGTCTCCCTGTCACCCAGTTAGGTGCTTGGGTGCCCGATTATGTCAAGAGACAGTGATCTGCACTGATGAGGGGCGGGCGCTGCCAAGGTCTGACAGAGAGCAGTCGGCTGGTTTCTCCACTCCCATCTGAACAATAAGAAGGTAAAGTACAACACAGACGTAACTTTGGCTTAACTCGGTGTCCAGGAGCTCCGGCTACAACATTTCTTGCCCTCTGTTTCCTCCTCCTCCTCTTCTTCTTCTCCTTAACGAGCCCTGTAATGTCTGTTAATTTTGTGTGTGCTAGTTAATGAGCATTAATCCATCACCCCTGGATGCTATTGTTGCGAGGCGGGGGCCATTTGAATGCAAATGCGTGACACTGTGACAGCAAGGTGCTTATTAAACTGATGTGTCCGCCTGTCTTTTCTGCTGGGAGCTCAGGGGAGTGAAAAGACGCGGGGCAGCTGGACTATACACGGAGTTGCTCACACCAAGTTCTGTTCGGCTGCAAAGCGAAACTACTACAGCGGCAACAAAATGGCAAGTTCAGCCTCTTTAGACACGGTGGTGTCCTGCGGGAGGACTGCGCCGTCCGCGGCTCCCAAAACGCTGGCTTTCTCCATCGACTGGATCATGTCCAAGAGCTCGGAGCCGAAAGGGAACGCGGAGGAACGTTCAGAGGGGAAAAAACTGCTAGGGCTCTGCTCCCCAATCCCCTGCATGATCCCGCTACAGCCCTTCAGCTACGACCTCCAAGCCAAGGCGCTGATGAGCTATTCGGAGCTGTGGAGAGCCAGTTTTAGGGGAACTTTGTGCGGCTCGCCAGCTGCTCCGTGCAAAGGAAACTGCGGGTTGTGCGGCAAAGCGGATCCGAGCCTGAAGCAGCAGCTGCTGACGTCAGGGAGCAGGGTGGTAAAACCTCAGGTCCTGAACCAGGCCGTGCCCAGCAGTGGCTCGCTCTACTATTTCAATTACCTGGACTCTGCGTACCAGCAGTCGGAGCTGCTGGCCGGCCACTGGCTCTCCAGCCCGCAGGCCCAGGCCTCTCTGTCGGCGCACCACAGACTTTTGCTGCTGGAGAATGCCAAACTGACCGGTGTGGGCACCGACAAGCTGCCCACACCTCAATACCCACACAAGGAACATCTGCCAGGGCAGCTGGACCAGATAGTGAAAGAGAGCCACGGCCTGACAGCTGAGAAAAGCGGCATAAAGACACACAGCAAACTCAGCGGCAGTGGCAGTGCGGACGGAAAACCCAAAAATTTCACCTGCGAAGTGTGTGGAAAGGTACAGTTATAATGCATTTTTGTACATTGTTAATATATTCTATATTTTATATTCTATATTTTATATAAAACATGAACAAATGCGCCAGCATCTACACACCTATATAAACTCAATAATGAACTTTTGAGGCCGATGCTAGTTTTTTTTTCTTCCTTTTTTCTGACGCTTGTTTTAAAAATGCTGGCGTTGTCTTTTTAGAATAATGTTTACTCATATTTCGTATGCCTTTGTGTCTTCTGCAGGTTTTTAATGCGCATTACAATCTTACCAGACACATGCCGGTGCACACGGGGGCCCGGCCCTTCGTATGTAAAGTGTGCGGTAAAGGATTCCGGCAGGCCAGCACGCTGTGCAGACACAAGATCATCCACACGCAGGTGAGACACTGTTTCACTGTGACCTTTCCAGCTTTTTGACTTGACTTTGTTTGAATTATTTTCTCTCATTTTGACCTGTAAGGAAAAGCCTCACAAATGCAACCAGTGTGGAAAAGCGTTCAACAGAAGTTCGACGCTCAACACTCACGTCCGGATCCACGCAGGGTATAAACCATTTGTGTGCGAGTTCTGCGGGAAAGGCTTCCACCAGAAAGGTAAATACTGGGCGCTGGTGTCCTCTTTAATCGGCTGTATTATATTACTGACTGGAAATTGTATCCTGATGTGATGTTTCCTATTTTCAACACTGCGGTGATTCAGTGTTCATGTGCAAACGAACAAAAAGCTTTCTCTTCAGCTCGTGTTATTATTCCACGAATTTATTTCATGCAATCTGCTGCCGTGCAGCCTAGTCATTATTTTGCTGGGTTGAGCAGTCAGCTTTTAGAAATCCACAACTCGGTGGAGAACTTCCTCACTAAGAGGAGACGTGATTGAAATAATTGCTACACTGGCTGATGGATTCTGTGCTTTAATTGTGTTGGATGCTGTTTAACATCTCGCGCACATTGTTTAGAATCGAATAAAATAATAATTTATTGTCATATACAACGAAATTGTGGGTTCTCAACTTGACTACTGACGAAAAATATAAATACGAAAAAATGCCATTTTATTTTATTTTATTGTTTTTGTTAAGCTGGACTTGAGATTTGGAGCATAAATGCACTAATAATTTTATAGCATTATGCACGAAGATTCCGATTATTCTGCCCGCTCAATATTGCGAAAGTTCACAACCGAGCAGAGCTCTTTATGCAGACTCGCTGGAGTTAGTGTGGCGACATCGGCGCTCATCCTCAACATTTGGCATCTGCGCTGCCGAAATAAATAACGTCTGCGGTAAAAGCAGAAAAAGCTTATATTTGAAGTAGTCAAAGGGGAAATAACTGTGGGCTCACCGATGAGCACGAATCGGTGGGTGGAAATGAGACTTGTCACTTTACACGGACTAATTCTACCTTCGAGACTGTCGCATTTCCCCCGGGTCATTAGTCAGACCCCGGCAAAGTTGGAAACCGGCCTCCTTTAGTTGCGGCTGCGCTTGATTTTGACAAAGTTTGACAACTTTTTGACTTCGGCACACAAAAAGCCGATTAATGAAGGCTGTGGGGTGGAGGAGGCTCCAGCTGAACTGCTGGTGGAAAAAGAAAAATCGCAGTTGTAAAACGCGTTCCCTCTCTGCTTTTTTTTTTTTTTTTTTTTAATATGTAGATGTTTCGCAGAAAAAATTACATTCAAATTTTGTTCAAGCGGTTTTATTTTTCAGATTCTCCTGATTAAATTATTTTCTTTGGCCAGATTGGAGTGAAATGTTTAGCTGTGTAATTTCAGGGTAAAAACAATTAACTCAGACCAGGCGGTTTTTTTTTAAATTAATCCAAGTTCCCCTGAAGCTGACTCTCCTCATCAGCGCATCAGCTCTCTGATATTAGAAGCCGTGAAATCTACAATATTTCTGAGGTATTGAGTGCATTTTTATCCCCTTTTTCTATTTGCTAATACTGGTTTTAGGCCGTTTTATACTAGAGGAAGGAAAGCTGGTTATGGTCAGACGACTGGTTTTCACATACACAGATGCACTTTTTTCGTTTGACCTGGAGTTGTTTCTATTGACACTCACACATCAGCGAGACATGAACGTTTGATTTCGTGCTGCGAAAAGGCCACGGGTTAAATAAGCAGATGTTAAAAGGGTGGCAAAAATTCTAATGTCACACCTTTCCCTTTTGAATCCTTTTTTTAACTCCTTCTCAGAAGAATTGTGAAGACAAAGTGAAAAGACTGTGATAAAAATGACATTGTGTTTTAATTCATATACTCTTATTTCGCAGGAAACTACAAGAACCACAAGCTGACGCACAGCGGGGAGAAACAGTACAAGTGCTCCATCTGCAATAAGGCCTTCCACCAGATCTACAACCTGACCTTCCACATGCACACACACAACGACAAGAAGCCCTTCACCTGCGCCACTTGTGGCAAAGGCTTCTGCCGCAACTTCGACCTGAAGAAGCACATCAGGAAGCTGCATGACAATGGCTTCTCGGCGGCTTCAGAAGCCTCCAGAGAGCTGCAGAGCTGAGCCATTGCTCGTTTCCTGCTATGACTTTTTAGCGGGCAGTTTTTAAGGTCTGACAAGGAAGTGAGGGAGTTCAAAAAACTGGACACGAATCTTTGAAAAGAAATGAGGTAATCGGCTCCCGTCAGTGTGTCAGCAGGAATGCTGCAGCGAACAAAAAACAGACAACATCCGCCCAACACTGTCGCGATGTTTTGGGTCCACATAGAATTTCTTTCTGCATTTCCACAGACTGAAAGAGAAACCCCCTGTCTCCACGATGGAACTGTAAATAACGATAATAATAATCATAATAATAATAACGTGAATCATCTGGGGAATGCATCGCCATGTTGTTTATTTCATTGAAAAACTGTTCCTGTGAATAAATAAGTTAAATTATATTGAAACTGAATGTCTGAGCCATGTTTGCATTTTGAAGGTATTTGAAAATAAAACAATTATATGATCAAAGTTTATTCTGAAACACTTTGTAAGGTGCAAATATCACATTTAGACAACACACACGTGCCCGCAAGAAAAAGCCCGTAAATGAAAACAGAGAAGGCCGCGAGACACAAACAAGCAAAGTGTGTGATATTCAAAGACGAAGTAACTAAAACAAACGACATTTGGAAATATAGTGGAAAAACTGCACAACCTGAAAAATAAAAACAGCGAAAAAGTATTTTTTTTTTAAAAAAAAACAAACTAATTTGCTTCTGATCTTTCATTAATTCTATTTGTTACATTTTCCAGCAAATGTAAACTGGGAGACACGCGTGCACAAGCGCAGACGGTACTGGTATTTTGGAGCGCGGGTACTGTATGCTCTGCGGCCACTTTTATTCAACATTTACTGACAGACACGATCTTAATAATACTGCATTTACACTTGACTCTGGCTTAATGGCACAAATGATCAGATATAACACGAGGCTCTTGAAAGCGAATTACATTAAGCAGCTAAACAGCCTCGGGAGAAGGAGCGGTGGGGGTGGGGGCCACGCCGTCATCCGGAGCCGCTCATCAGAACAGGAGATAATGGAGCACTCGGGCCGCAGCTCCTTATCTGGGCCTCCGCGTTAATAGAGCTCAAGTTATTCTCCGCACGGCTTCTGGAACAATATTATCCCTGCACACATTCTGTCAAGAGGCCGATCCGTGCTCCCAAATGGCGCTCATTTCATTAACAGCCAATTAGCGCTCACCCGGGTCGGCCAGGCCCTCAGAAGCTTGGCAGGGCTAATATTAGCAGATGAATGCCCCGCTCACCTTTTTCATCAGTGTGCACCAGACATCTGCAGGAAAATCTAGCCAGTCCGCTCAAATAGACCGTATAAAGGGCTCTGTGCTGATGTGTGCGGCTCCGATAACACAAACACTTAAACCAGATGATCTTTTAGTTATTATAGGAATTATTAGGAAATAACTAAAATATCTCCGCAATTTTGAGGTCTTCAGTCGACGCACCACGCTGTTGCTGAATTTTCCATCAAATCGCGAATACTTATCCTGTCAGAGGAATAAAATCGATGTTTTTGTAATCATGTGGCATTTGTGCGTCACGCGCCACCTCTCAAACAAAGGGAACACTGCTCAAACGTGTCACTTTATTTCCTGTTTCAAGAGTGGGAGAAAGGTGTTTTGTGTCCTACGTGCCGATAAACGACAAAGACTCGCAGATCCAATACTTGAAAGATGACCTCGGTGCGCGCCTTCTCCATGCGTGCACGAGCATCCAGCAAACGGAATACTGTTACATCAGGCAGAGTGTAGGATCTGTGTGAGAGGCAGGTTGTGTCTTTTACCAACGCAATGCGTGTGGTCACACACACGCGCGCACTGACACACACAGGGTCTACGGGCTGTAGGACTGAACAACGTCTGCTCAGTAAATAACCTAAAGGCAGGTTGGCCTTTTCTCCGCACTTTTTCTTTTTTCTCCAGCATCTGAGCAACCGCCTCAACATCCACAAACACGTTAACTGACTGGTGCGCGGGAGCTTTAATTAAGGCGCGCCCACGCGCAGCAGATTAAAGGTTTTTTTTTTCCTTTCTGGGGTGGAGCGCTAATCAGTTGTCAACAACATGAGGACATCTTTCTTTTTGCTCTCTCCACCACTGGGGATCGCTGGGGGATTCAGGCAATTTACGGACTACAAAGGAGCTCGTCTGAGACAGGAAGAGAAGAAAAGCAAGAGGCGGACTTTTTGTCTGTCCCAGTGAACTGATTGTAAATGGGAGATTAGCAGGGAAGCTTCGCAAGTCCAGCAAGTGCCCGATCGAGGAGGAAGGAGAGAAAAAGACCAATTAAGTCTACCAAATGTTAACTTACACCAGTTTCCCCCCAGTTTAGCCCACATGAAATTCCAATTAAAGCGTCCCGGTAGCAGCTTTTTTCTTTCAAAGAAGGCGGAGGGGTTAGAGTGCTTGTGTCACTCTAGCCAGGGGACAACGTTCCCACAATATCTGAGACAGGAGCTCGTTAAAGTAATACAAGGGCAATATGCGATGTTATCCCCAGTACAAGGTTGTGATTCCTTGGAGAAGCAAAACCGCTAAATACCACGACTAACACCACCACAACAACTAACGGATGATGGTGATGGAAATGAAAACACAGTCAAACAAGATTTAATCTAACAGCTGACTGTGTGTGTGTACTCTTCATTGAGCATTTGAATGAATAACGTTTTAATCAACTTGTTTTTATCATGCCTATGTAACCTAAGTCAGCTAGATTTATAGTTTTATATATTGCGAGCATTAAATTGAATTCACAAAGGAGAGTGCAGAAAACACATTTTCACAGCCAGTCAAAACCAGCCTACAGTGCATGTTTGTTGTGCCAGATATTCAGTAAGACTAACAGTAAATGAAATAAACAAGAAAAACAAGATAACTATAAAAGGAGATTAGACATCAAAATGCTATATCAGAAGGAGTTATGCCCTGTTATGGCCATCTCTCCCTTAGCCTGCTTCTGCTGGGCTGTTCTTCCTGTTAAATGGGAGTTTTTCTTTCCCACTGTTGCCAAGTGCTTGCTCGTTGCGTTTGATTTATACTATAAGCATCTTCACCTTAAAATATAAAGCACAGTGAAGCGGCTGTTCTGATTTGGTGCTATATAAACGTTGCATTTGCTTTTCCACAAGCACATTCAAAGTTTATACTAAGTTTGTGCTTAGAAAGGCTGGGACCGCTTTGTGCCGTTGTTAAGATGCCTTGCCACCCCACCCCTCGTTAGTGAACCACTAGCCCTTTGAGACCATGAGCCTCCATTGTAAAGTACTGAGGGTTAATGAGCACTGGTTTCTCTTCAGTCTGTAGCTGTGCAATCAAAGGAAACAGAGATACTGACATGAGATGTTTAAAAACAACATTATTGTACATTTCTCATAAAGGAGCTAGTCTAACATTATGCTCTGATTTGGTTAAAGAAAATACCAGAAATGCCGAACTTGCTTGTCCAAAGACCAAAAAGTCCAAGATGATGGATAGAAATGAGCCACTCAAGATGCAGTGAACAGGCACAGCATTCACTCACACCTCATTTAGATTCTTTTACAAAGTCATCCCAGAACCTTCCTCCACCAAAACCTCATCAGAATGTCTTAAGGACAGTAGTGAGGAGCTTGTCCCTTGGATATGCCTGCTCATCTGCTTTGGCCTGTCAAGGGCATGGCAGGCTGAGAGGATGTGTTTTGTGGCTGGGAGGGAAGCTTGGGCTGCTGGGAACTGAGCAGTGAGGGAGCTCTCATCACTGATTTGTTGTCAGACTCCATTCTCTGACCTCCATCCGTCTGTCCATCCATGCAGCTATCTAGTCTGCAGCTCAGAAGCTGCGGGGGGAACCTGTAGTGGACGAGGGTGGTGAAGCTTCAGGTTTCTGTTAGTCAGAGACTGAATTTAGTTATTTTTCTTGTTTGACCAATTTTAGGACAAAACACACACAACATCAAGTATTCACTGCTTTAATGCCACATCTGTTTCTTCAAAGTATAAAATCAAGGCAATTGCTTCCAGGGCACAACTTTTAGATTGTGCTGTGTATGTTTGTTATGTTGTGTTTAATCAAACCACTTTCATTTTCTCAAAACATGACGAACAGTAAGAATTAGCTTGTTTTCTAATCCATTAACAATGAATTATTATGTTTTTAAACATTCAGATTTCAAAGTCTGAATGATTTGGCGCTATATAAATATAACATATTACTAAATAGATGCGACTAAAACATTATGACAAAGCACCCTCGAACAAAAGATAACTTTTCAACTACTTTGGTAAAGATATTTCCAAATCACTGTGATTAGTTTGAGTTTAGTGTTGAACGTTCCCAGATTAATTCACTACTTCCCGCTAAAGTGAGTGAGCTGCAGAGTTGTGATGCCTTTTTTTTCACCCACACACAGCAGCTGCACGTGGATCTTTTTCCTATTCATGAATTTGTATGTTAGGTCATGTTCAAACAGCTGGCTATGATAGCCAAAGTGAAACAACACAGTAACCTTAAATGGCCAAGTAAGGCTAGTTTCAAAAGTGAACAAGTCTCCAGCTTTACAGCAGAGCTGAACATAGAGCCCACATCTTTTGGATTTTGACTACTTTTCTTTTTCACCGTCACTGCAAAGTGGTGATTTTTTAAAATATAATTTACCAGATTAAACTGTATTAAGCCTAAGTTCTGCATTTTTAAGTGTAATTGCAGTGTTATCATGTTCTGTGTTTGATTGGACGTAAAGATGTCTCATTCAGACTTTCTATCTAGCATTCACACTAAATGACCTGACACACAGAACACGGATCAAACCAGCAACCTTCTGATTACTGGGTTTCCTACACTATCACCTAAGCTACAGACACCCCACCTGTGTTCCAATCAAAAGTTCACGTTTGTTTGTAGGATTTTTTGTAGAATGGGAGCTTGATTTATGATGTCATCATGATGTCATCATGGATATCTGAGGACGGTTTCCACCACCTGTTTGACTCAATGCCGTGAAGAATTAAAGTACGCAAAAGGAGCTCCTATATTGTTCTTGCAAAGTTTACCTATTAAGACAATCAGGGAGTGTATATTACAATAAAAAGTACAAACATGACAGCTTCTATTTAGCATGAAAAAAATGGCTGGGGCAGACACTGTGGTATTTGGGTGCTGTGGAGAATTCACTACAGCAGAGAGATAGATATTGGACTCTGCAACAAAGTCAAGCACTGATACGATGTTACTGTAAAAAAAACTAAAACTAAAGATAACAAAAAAAACCCCCTGCACTCTTTGTCCAGCGAATTATGAGCCAATTAAGTGAATGAGTCATTTTCTCCATCGTGCACTGGTGTCACTAAGCAGTGTGCCATCGTTGGGAAAGATCAGCTGATTTAGGGATGTCCGGTGTCTCAGCTAATCCTTTTGAGCTGACCTACTTGCTGACCTGCTAGAAAATGTCCAGTCCTCCTTTATTTGAGGCTACCATGTTCACGATCCCGTGAAATGAATTAAACAGTTCATGTTCATACAGACGCACAAACTCACATCTAGTCTAGAGCAGTTGCAGTCTTGCTTCGTTCTTGTGGAGTGTCCTAGAAGAAAAACTATATTTCTTGTGTTTGCTTACTGTTTAGCATTTTGCTACCCAAAGCCTCTCTTCTAAATTAGCAAATGCTCATTGAAGTCAATCTATTTATTAAGGATTACTGACGTTACTGGGCCACACTTCTTAATCTCTGAGTTCAGGTGTTTTTACTTCCTTTGCCACAGCTGAAATGTATAAAACCAGCAATTACTCAAACATTTGTTAAAAAAGGGACATTTTAAACAGCTATCTGATTTTGAGAGTGGTTCCATAATGTAGAAATGACCAGACTATGATTCAACTACACTATTTATGTATTCAATCAGTAATTTGAAAAGTAAACTATATTACTTCACTACAGCTAAAATTCAGTGAGCTCTTTTAAATGACCTATT